AGATTTCACATTCTAAAAGAGTAGTGAAGCAGGAACCTAATATAAAACACACATTACTGTAAGACTTGAAAAACATTCCTGAACTGTGAATCATTCATGCACCCTTTAACTTCCACATGTTCCTCTCTGACTTTACTACAACCAAGTATTTGTTTGTGTTCTAGACTAACATGATCAGTCCTTACAATGTAACTATTTGAATCACCTACACTAGGTGCCTTTAAATAAACTACCTCCTATTCAATAAAATGTAAAATTACATGGCTATTTAAAACACTCCATTCTTGAAAACTAGTCTAATGTTAGAATTTCACTATATGCACGAAAGACTTGGGCATGTACAGCTCTTCTAGTTCCTACTGACTACAAGTGCATTACTATGGAACGTATCCTGGATGTGGGTAACAAGAAACATGGGGGCTTTAATACTAGTTCTACACACGTTTTGATAAGAACAAGAAATTCTAGTTGGGAGAGACAGGATACTTCAATACTCCAATCTTTTGTGTCTCTTCATAATCACTGCTACCTTCCATACTTCACAGTACTGAAGGATACAGTGTACTGATGATGCTGGACAGTGTATACAACTACGTATTTTTTTTTAATTCTGCAAATAAAAGTAGCATGGGTTTCTTATTTAAACTGTATACCCTAAACAAAACCTTACCTAACATTGCTGAATTTGCAAATCAGTCTCTTCCTTACAAAATACTAGTAACATCAGAAGTAGTTAACATTTTCAGAAGAATTTTTAAGTAAAACCCCTATGCAAATAGTAGCTGGCAGGTAAAACACCAAACAAGACTTCTAGACAAGGCTATTGTAGTTACACCATTTGGTTTCAATCTGTTTCTGGATTTTTCCCCTAGGTCCATAACTACAACTGCAATAGACCTGAAAGGCAGTATTTAGTTTTCTTCTCATGTGACAAGATCACTGGTTCAGGCAGATTTTTAGGATAAAAAGGACAGAACTGGTACATCTTGGATAAGCAATGTCATGGGAATGGAAACAATACTCAGAACTTTCACTTGTTCTCCTGGAATGAGGGCATTAGTGCCCATTTTTGTACCTGATACAAAAGCAATCCACCTATCTTGGAACAGTAAAAAGTAAACTGTTTTTTCTCCAAGAAATGAATAATTCTCTACTACGAAAATTTGAAGCAATTCTCCATTAATTTAACTGTTTTTACATTTCCTTCAGGAATGCAAACTAGAAAACTTCTAACATATTTTACTTTGAGGGATAGATAAATACACTACCAGGTGTACTGTCTGCACATTATATACCTGTTGTAAGCAGCTGTTAAATCCAATACTCTCCTCAAGAGCTTATGTTGCCAGCACGTGGGGGACCTGAGCTCCTGGCTAGAGCTATTGTGCTGACAATCCCTGGCAAATACCTGAACTTCCCTGCTTTTATATACTGCTCTCTTCATGCCTTCTCTTATAGGAGGTATATAAAAGGGCTTGGTGGCTGTGCAAAAAGAACACCCTGCAATTTCATTTTCAGAGACCTGACCTACACCCCCTGACCAGATATACCCCAAACTACCACCCACATAGGTCACAGTAGTATCCAGATTCCCAGGAGGCTCACAAGCTCTAACAAGAATAGAATCATCACATGAATAAAATCATAGATACATCTCCAGTAACGAGAGTGTGCCTGAATATCCTTGTATACTCACTCCTTCACACTAACACATCTCCCAGGGTGGCGGTGGTGAGGGGGTGTGCCTGCCTGATACTGAATTCCCAAGATGCTCAATCCTCAACTGGCATGGGTAAAAACAAAACGTTAGCATTGCTGTTTCATGTTACAGACAGACTGGGATCATCTCCTGCTCTGGGTATGTTTATCCTGAATAATTCATTAGTATGTAAATATCTCATTTAGATAAAATATCAACTAGATAGCTAGAAATGAGGTAGCTCCAGAAATGGAAACTGGACTAACATGATAATCCACCCATGCTTGTTTATATCCTTCAAAGAATTCAGACATACATGGCTGTGTGGGGATACCTGCACTATTGTGGAGACATACCAGCAATGTAATTTCCTCTGCAGGGCAAGAAAATTCTTGCAGAACAGGTAAGATTCTAAGGCTCCCCAGCTCAGTGAGAATTCTTCACAAGTGAAAGAAAAAGATATTGTAATAGAGTTTCTTCAACAATGCAGATATTGGCAAGAAAAGAGGGTATCGCTTCTACAGCATTCCTTGGAAAAAAAACAGCTGGGTTTTCAACTCATAGTAATGAACCAACCTATATGCATCTCCTAAAAAATGTAATCAAAGCTAGAAGACTATCACTCTCTTTTCTGCTATCATTTGAAAGCCAGAACAAAGACTCAACATGGAAACAGTGGTTTGGTTTGGAAAGGCTTCACAACCTCCTTTCTTATAGAAGTTTAAAATCCTGGAGAAGGTCATGAGATGTTTCTCTAAAGAGTGATTCTAAAACTTATATTCTAATTGTTCTATATGTGCTCTCATCACATGACTTAAGATACATTAAATCAGTTCCCTTCAAACAACATCCACCACAGAAAAACCAAATGCACATATTTTTTCACATCTAAAAAAACCAAGTATCATTAGATTATTTGTCCGTTTATGCTATCACAATACCATATGTATTTTTTATGCCAAGAAGTTATATGCTTATTTCTCTTTATTTATACTATTTTCTATGAAATTAAATTTAGTATCTTTACATAAATAATATCCAACCAATAAGAACAGGAGGCTCAGGAGAGACCTTATTGCTCTCTAAAATTTTATCATGTTAAAGGTTGTGAAGCATTGGAAAAGGCTGCAAAGGGAAAGGGATTAAGCCACCATCTCTGGAAGTGCTATGTGGCTTTTACAGACATGGTTTAGTGGTGGCCTTGACAGTGCTGAGTTAATGGTTGGACTTGATCTTAAAGGTCTTTTTCAACTTAAACAATTCTATGATTCTACTCTAGGTTTTAAAGAAAAGCCATGTATAAAAGAGACAAGATTATTTATTTTTGGTCAACACAATACAACTTTAATTTTATGTTCTATGTTCATCTGTTTTGATATAGAACAAGCAATTAACTACTGTAGATTGGAATTTGTAAGTTAACATAAAACATTAAAGTAATTATTTTTGCCATACTAAACTCCAGGAATCTCTGCTGTAGTCGTAGAATAGGTACTAAATCTTAGCTGTAGCACAGTTACATTCAGTAATCTCCTTATCCACACACAGAATTAGAATGAAAACCAGCTAACACCCAACCAGAGCAACTTTAACTGCATTAGTAGTGTGATAAAAGCTTTTAGAAAATACTTATTTTTCTTTCAATTGTTACCATATACAGTGCATAGCAAAGATTTTTCCATGTTTGACTACCTGAGTAAATGGCCCAAGCCAGGGACATAAGGATATGAAACAAACAATTCAACAGTGACTGAAAATTATTTATTCTCTCAAAGGAATACCAAAATTTTTGCACAGCTGCGAAAGAAGGATGTTAGCTTCCTTGAAACAACAATTGTTGAGTTTCCATGAAAAGGAGAAATGCTAAGAATTCAGAAAAAAAAGCAAGACTATATAAATCACTTTATTATGCTAATATTTCTAGCCTTGTGGTAAAAAGGACTTTAGCAAGGTGGTAAATATATATATATACATATATATATAAAAAAGAAATAAAATTTTTAGATCAATTAGATGCTTGAACTACAGAATGCTATGCCAGTGTAAAAGTAACGCCAAAGCTACTACAAAATAAAATATGTACTTAAATTCAACAGTTATTTGTCAGACACCATCTGCTTTTTCTTTCATTCTTTTCTGATTCTGATCTGTAAGAAACCACATCAGTATCAAATGTCACTTAGTTCTTATTCAAACAGAGCAGCCCAGACACAGCGGCTGCACCAGCTGACTTGGCTGACCTAGGCCTAGAGTAAAAACAAACCCCTATAAATCACCAGATGTAAGCAATTGAATAGTGATCAATTTAATTAACTGAACAGCTTTCCAAAGTTTATTGTATTGTTTTAACCCTTCAGGATTCTTCAAGAAAGGTAACTTGCAATTTGTACTCAAGGACAGGATTTGACCAGAGGGCTACAAATTATTAGCTTTAGACATTTTAGATTCCCACTGATAAAACACAAATCCCACACATGAAAATCAGGTCTTTTTTTTAAACTAACAGTATGATAGTAGCTACTTTTCTACAGCTTCCTTCAACAGTTTATTTAAACTAAATCACAGAAAAGAAATTCAACTAATTTATCATTAAAACATCAGGAATAAAATTTCCTTTGAAATCAGCTTTTTTGGTTATGGGTTCTGTATGCCTTTTACAACATTATACTCGTATTACACATGAACACCAAGTAACCTACTCATTTCTTTCATGAAATGCAATGAACATAGACACAATCATGTGTCACAATTTTATGTATTAACTGCAGAAAAAAAAAGTGCCACACATTAAAATGGGCTCAAAAAAAAAAAAAAAATTCACAACATTGGCAGAACATCTTCTGACCTAGATACTTGTTCTGAAGCTGCATCTCAAGAGGATTTCCCTGTATTGTCCAGTGAAATTAATGGAATTCTGCCATGATTTAACACATCAGGATCTCAGCCAAGATGCATAATGATGGAGTATAAGTCTTGTTTTAAAGACAGAACTGTACAAGTTTGTGTAACATTTACAGATGCTCATACAGTGCCTAGCACAACAGGACTGAGGCTTCTGGATACTACTACAACATAAATTAATTCTAATGCAGTCTTTGTATTTGGGAAGCACAAAAACTACAAGGATTAAGCTCAATTATACACATTTTAAAGAACTACTAAATAATATGACATAATCGACTTCCTAACCACAAGCTGCTCTATTTCCAATTATTTTACTTTAATCTTTGTAATACACGTATTTCCATGAACCCTGTAGAGTTAGTTCCACTAAACAGGGACAAGAGTAAGATTTACTTACAAAGACAGAAGAGTTATATTTGCTGAGACTGGTCCCAGATCTGGAATGATCTCCAGTTCATTGTTGTTCAACTTCCTAGTAATAATACAAAAGGGAGAGTTAGCTTTAATGTTAATCAGAAGTATGTACATCAGACTTGCTGAACTGTTGAACCGTGTCACCTCAAAATTAAAAAAATAATTCCAGTTTCACTTAATGTAAAATATCAGAACAGCAAGTATCTTTGTTGTTCAAGCAAGCATCCCTAGAGAAACAACTATACAATTAGCATACACAAACACAGGTTGGGTATTTTTGGTTGGGGTTTATGTTTTGGTATGGTTTTTAATTAAGACAAATTAACTTACACTTCCTGAAGACTATGAAGGTGATCCAAGATACTGGTCTTGATTGAAGATAATTTGTTGTGACTTAAGTCCCTATGAGGTTACAAAAATAAACACCCTGTCAGTTTTGCCACACGATATCAGGTAAAGTAGTGCAATTTCAATCCAAATTATGTTCTCACTTGTCTCCAAGTACATAAAAGGATTTTTTTTATTAGCAAAATTAGAATAGAAACTCATTTGCTTACACAAGGTATAAATGTACAAATACAAATGCAAATACCTTGATCACTGCTAGCTGTGTCAAAGGAATTTCTAGTATCTCTGAACAATATAGAACTGTTCATTGGAATGTACATAGGACCCATGGAAAACATCTTAAGATTTTGACTCAGATAAACCAACAAGTGCTTTCCCACATACCCTCACAACAAAAAATACGGCTATAACAACCTCTTGGTTCCTTCACAAAGGAAAATTCAAAAACAATAGTCATTGCAGTCTCATTGCTTGGGTTAATCATAATACTTCACTCTTTTCACATGCATCTCAAAAGCAATGCATGGCTCACAAATACACAATGAGGACTACCCATAAATCCCAACTGTATTTTCATGCTTCCACAAAATTCCGGACACCATTCCCACATAACCAAATTCAATAGACATCTTAAGAAATAGCAGAAGAAAACAGACATAGCAAGGGCTAATTCTGTGTTTTAAGATGTCTGTATACTGGTGATATTAATACCACTTAATACTTAATTACCCTTGATGAAGTAACTTGAACCCTTAGCTTGTGCCATGTTGAAGATCCCAGTATATATTGATGCAGCTTATGAACAATTGTTAACACCTTTGCAGCATTTGCTATGAAACAAACCAGGTACTAAAAATATAACAATTCTTGACCCCAGGAAATACTTTTCCTCACAGTGCCATGCATCTTTACCCTCTCAAACACCTGACATCATACAAGGTGTATTTGCTGTAGCCTCAGAAGTACTGGAAACGTAACAGAAATAAGAGTGACTGTAAAGTAAAAGACAGAAAGCTAACTGCAGGAACTCAAACCTGCACTTCTCTAAACCTCTGCACAAGTACTAGAGACCCACAACTCATCTTGTGGCCATGACTAGCTCTGTTTGTTGAAGGCTGCCCCCTTCTCACTCATCCACCAAAATGTGCACTTTTCTGTTCCCCTACTACAGATTATCACTACCTCACCAGCATCAATCCAGCCATCTGCAAGCATTTGTTCCAAGTTAAAACACTGCATTTATCCAAGCCAACTAACAAAAACGACATTATTTTAATGAGTTTTTAAATTCACTCCAGTGAGTGTTTGTAATGCAGACACATAAAGAAATGAATCGGCGCACCTCAGAAGTGAGCAGCTGTAGTATCAGGTAAAGGGTGCTTTTTTTCAATTTTTTTGAAAAAAAATTGCTCACACTTATACTCTGTGATACTTTCCCCCATGCTAATTAAGCACTTCAGAGTCATCCACCATACCTGGGGTCCTCATCAAGCCACACAAGCATGAAGTGGCACTTCAAGTTGAATTTATGTAGAAACTACATGATTCCTCACTTTTTCTGGGTAAGATGACTCAGTAGAGTCATCTGTGCTGAGCACAGCAAACACAGGTCTGACTGCCATGGACATGTCTGCTCTCTATCCACAGTTCCAGAAGTGAAGAGAGTTGATGAACAGCATATCTCTGCTGCACACAGACCAGAGCTGGCTTAAACAAAGCCAAATTCAGGGTCTGTGCTAGGCATTCTACTCTGTGACTAAGCTCTGAAAACCCACAGATCCAGAGAAATCCAGTTTCCCTGCATCCATGACTCCACATCCTCAGACACAGGTGTAATTCTGCAACCCAGCCAGGCACCTAGGCTAGGTTTCCTTAGCAGACCATGTGGACAGTAAAACTCTGGTTTAGATTCTCCCAACTGACTCGTTCAATGTTGCCAGGACAGTTTCATCATCACTTTTGTTCCTCTCCCACAGTTGGCAATTAAAAAATCCCCCAGTAATAATAAGAATTAAGTATAAAAAATAATCCCAGGCACACACGGGTATTATGAGGGGTACCACCAGCACCCAGCTGTAAGGTGTGCTCTGAGCCAGCCAACTGGAGCAGGCCCAGCAAGCTGCTGAGCTGTGACATGGGAGCCTGGTTCAGTCACAGGCAGGGAAAGAAAAGAGATGTGCTGTGTTTCCCAAGCCAGGACTGCACAGAGCAGAGCTGCAGGTGTGAATGGCATTTTCCAGAACAAAAGAAGGGGCTGAGGGCTGGGGAGAGCCACCTACAGAAGGGAACACATTCCACCACCTCCAGGTGGCCACAAAGGGGATGTTTTCAGAGACTCAGCTCTGGACTCAAACACCTAATACATATCTGTGCCTTGGAAAACCAATACAGTGTCAATGTTTTCAAAAGCCCACTAATTTTAGTTCCACCATTATGATTTTGAGTTCTCCCCTATATTAGGTGAACCACACTAAAGTTAGAGGACTGCATCTTTCACTACTTAAAAATCTAGTGCAAACAATCTCCAGGCCATACACTGGAGAAAAATCCCTTTGTTTAACATCTGAAGGCATTAGCTGCACAGGTTTGAAATTCTCACACTGCATTCTTAAGTGTAAATACTGAAAAAATATGCTGCTACAAAAATCTAGACAGCAATCTAACTTGGTCCTTAAAGACAGAGTAGAGACAGCTTTTGCCCTTAAACTTAATTCAATATTTGGCTTTAGTCTGTAGGGATTATAAGAACTATGCAAATAAACAGCCAAAATTCAGTTAAGTTATGGCTGTTAGTGCCTAACATGTTACTGTTGTTCATGCTTCAGACAAGACTTAGGAATCAGTAATTATTTCAACAAAGAGCTTTCAACATTAGTGCTAAAAACCTGCATTTCTTCATTTCACCTAAAAACTCTGCAAAAGGTTTATTTAAGGAAAGTTTGCCTAAAGGACCCACCAGACAGTAACAGACGTGAGTAGATTTGTTCTGCTGGAGTTAAAACATGTTAAAAAAAAAAAAAATCTGGCAGAGTCCTTAAACTATAAAAATCCTGCAATTACAACCACTGCTGTGCATGATCACCACACTGGAGCCAGACACTTTCACTCATAGCTTAAGCTCACATCCATCTGGAGTCTATCAAGGCAACCGTGAGCGTAACTAACACTAGGTTTCAAACTACTTTTTTTGGTGTTTGTTTTTTAACACTAAAGATACAGTCACATTTTCCAAGTAGCACCTACTTTAAAAAATACATACATAAAAATTCCTTATGCCTGGTTTACTTACACCAGGTTGTCAAACACAAGATGAAAAAAAAATCCCAAAGCAAAAAACCAACAAAAAATGCCCAACCCTCCAGACAATACTGAATTGCCTGTTTCATACAGTATATATGCTTGTCTACCAATAGTTGTATAAAATACATATTATAAATTTTTATTAAACATTACTTCAGTACTACTGACATAGGAAACTTCATGAAAATTTGGTAAGAAACGCCTTGCAAGTTACATTTTAAGTTCGATCAGAGTGGTTGGAAGTGAACCAAGAGTTAAAATATTTGCCTTTTACTAATAATCTAAGTGAAGCTTAAGCCTGTAGAAGTTCTTCAAACTTACAAGCATTGGACTGGCACAATTTTTTTAAATATAAAAATCTATCATCCCAGTTGAAAAGCTACAAGTTTATTTCAGTCCAATGTATTTCTCAACATACCTTAAAATATGTATGAAGAAAAAGTTGGAAAATTTAATTCTATTTTTCCTTCACAGAAATGGAACTGACATTGTTCAAACATTAGTACTATGTGTTTTCCATTTCTGAATTTTCCTTGTATGTTAAAACCAAATTACAAGAGGGAAGAAACTTCCCTCTCTGATTACTTTTGCTGCTAGAATCTCAAAAGTCATGGAAGATAGAACATACTCTACTCTGAAAAGTCAGAAATCAGATACATGTTAGAACGTCTTTATAGCAATAGTAAGCATATATACCTGTTCTTCATCTCACATTTCTAATAGAAGTGATTGTACATTTAAGTAGAATTGTCTCCACTTGGAAAGCATGCCATAGTTTTTACCCTCAAAGAACCTGTTCCATGAAAGAAACTATTTTCTTTGTTCCATTATGTTTGTGTGACCATCTTTTGTAACTCACAAGTCCCAACATTAGCTGAAACAACTCTGAACATCAATGTTTGTGTGATTAAAAAGTGAAAGGAAGCCTAATGCATAGAGGGAGAAGGTTAAGTGCTTCTTCACACATTTTATAGATATAACTTTTAGACTCTAACTTAATTTACAACACTTAGTCACAATTATCATCTTCTTCCTTAGAGAACTCAGAAACCTGAGCCCCAAGTCAAATTTTAAAATGCAAATCCAGCAACAGTTCCTTAATCAGTCCCACTGGGGCCTATAGAGCTGCTAATTCAGCAGAAATCAGCAGAGCTGAAAAACAAAAAGCCAGGCTGTAGCTGTTTTAAGACACTGATCCAAAGTGACTCATAAATCAGCTTGCTATGTTCAAGCTTTAGTCTGGAAAATATTGAAAAACAGCTGTGAAAACCATACAGCTTTTTTTCTGGCAATTCTGGTAGAGAACTAGAGGATTTATAAAATGTAAATACTAAAGATGTAATAGAAACACAAGTGAAAACCATTTTTCAGACTTTCCCTCCTGCCCCACTGACAGTTCTAGCATTCCTGAGTGAACCTGGCAAAGGGTACTGCAGTGCCAGTGGGAGTTTGCACACATGGAGGACTCTGGCCAATGCTCAACACTCTTCCTCCTCCACCAGCTCTAACAACCCCACATTCTTGCAATATCAGGATACACATACTGGAATTAAACGGAAATCCAACTTCAAAACTATCTGCACACAAAGCCATTAAAAATGTTTAACAGTTTTCAGCAGACTGTTACCTCTCATGAAGGCAAGGCAATAGAAGAAGGCAATTTTAGCTAAAATCACAGTGAAGCTGGCAATTATACCCCATTTACACTCCACTTTGGAAGACACTTCCATACAACACAGTAGACTCACACCTGCCACCAAGAAGAAGGGGACATAAGTCAGGTTCATTTTTTCCCCTCTCTTTGTCCATTCTGAGGTCACTCTTATTTCAGCAGGGAGCGTGAACAAAAAAAGGCACGAAAGTATGCAGCAGGAGTTTCAAAAACCTGCTCTCCATATGGGTGACTACAGATGGGCAAAGGAAGGTGTAAAGCCTAACATGGGCCTAGACATTCTGAGGCAGAAAAGCTTCCATTCTCCTGCTTGGGGGTCTTGCCTGTGTATGTTAAGAAGGTGGTAAAAAAAGTTGTTGTTTTCTCAAGAGGACTGGAAAGCCTGCAATTAAACTACTAGCCTTTGGCTATACCCACTATAGAGTTTCATGGAAAACATAGCAGACATATAGCAATAAAATTCATAAACAGTCTTTTACAATTTGTAATGTGCAGTTTGTTGCAACAATAATCCAAACTAGTCAAACCTTTTTTGCGTATGTAAAGCTGAGCTCATTAATTACCAAATTGCACAATCCCAGGTCCAAGTACTGGGGTAGCTGGAGGTAACAGACAATGCCACACTCTTCCTTGTTCTTATTAAGAGGGGAAGGAAGAAAGAGCTGGGTACTTCTAAGGCATTTGTCACAAACAAAAGAAATATTTACACAAAAGCGGCCAGACCACATGGTTTGGTGACACCTACAAAGATGTACCTCTGTGAGTTTAAAAGCAAGTGACACAGCTGTCCAATGAGTAATCACAGCAGGGTTTCTTACAACAGACCAAAGCTTATTTATACAAGCGGAACTTATTTTCTCACACTTTTAAAGGAATGTGAACTTACATAAGGGCAATTTACACTACCAAGGGAATTCTAATTAGAAAAATGTCCCTCGTGCAAACAAAAAAAGCCCTGCAATGTGTTTTATTGTCTCTCGGGAACATAAGTGGAAAAAACAAATTTGGATTACTGCTAATGAAAAATGCTTTTTAAAGCAACTCTAAAAAAAAGTGAAAAGTTCTGTGATTTTCCCCTTTTTATTTACACATCTCAATTTCAACAGCATTGATGTATGCTGAACTAAGAAATTAAACTATAAAGCTTACCTTATATCAAAACAAAATCCTTAGGTTTTGTCAGAAAACTTAAGTGGGCATACTGAAACACTTCAAAAAACTAAGAGAAATGAAATATAATAGAAAACAAAACCAGTTGTTGAATGTAAAGCAGATGCAGTAGTAGATCTGTATGTTTCAATCACATAAGAAAGAAAGAAAAAAGTTTCTTTCCCCTCGCACTTTCGTATACCAGTCCTGGAAATATTCAACTCCCAGAGCCATGCCTGTGTTCAGTTCCATATGGTGTCAATACAGCCATCCACATTTCATGAGCAAAGCAGCATGACCTCCAGACGAGGCAATTGAACAGAATTAGCCACAACTAATTGAAAGTCTTCCTGTTTACTTTAAAGCCCTTATCTCGATCTGCTTTGAAAACGTAATAGAAAATTAATACGACTAATATAGAAGATCTTTCAGTGACAAGCTATTAATAACAAATGTGAGAAGTACCTCGGCCATTTTCAAGCTTTTAGACAGCTGACCTAATTTATGCTTTTTCTATAGAAGTTTGTTACTGGAAGTAACTTTTCCTCAGCTGGCACTTGAGTTCGCGCTGCCCTGGGTTCGGTCACTGGGCGGCACCGGCCCAGGCGGGCCCGCGCCATCGCCAGCGCCGAACTCCCCAGGAATAAAGAGCTGCACGAAGAAAACCGATAGGAGCTTTCCCACACACCGATCAGCGTTAACGTGATGATTACTACACGTTGTCTGAGAAAGTCAACAGAACTTTTTCCTCGCCCTCTCCGACACTGAGCAGCGCTCCCGGGCGCATTTCAGCCGGGCGCTTATCGCCACCACCGTCCGGGGCCGCAGCCCGCCCCAAGGGACGCTGTCCCGCTGCGGCCGCCGGCGACCTCGCCGCGCCCGCTGACAGCTCGGCCGCAGCCCCAGTGCTGACCGCTCCCGCACCTCGCTGCCGCCACCACACCCGCGCTCCCCTCAAAGCCCGCCCGTCCGCGGCCCCGGGGGCAGAAGATGGCGGGCGGACGCAGACCGGTGCCCCCAGCCCGCCGCGGAGCCCGCCGCCCCGATACTCACAGCTGCACCGCCCCCCGCGGCAGCCGCTCGGGCAGCCGGCTCAACTCCAGGCGGCTGCAGGCGACGAGGTGCCCAGCGCAGCGGCAGGGCGCGGGGCAGCGGGCGGCGGCGGGGCGACCGCCCAGCAGCAGCGGCAGCAGGAGCAGCACCGGGAGGACGGCGAGCACCGAGCGGGGCCGGCGGAGCATGGCGCGCTCGGAGCCGCTGCCCGCGCTCCCGTCCCTGGCGTTCGCCCCACTGACAGAGCCGAGCGCGGCACGACCTCCTGCTTCTCAGCGCGGGTGGCGGCTGCCGCTCATGCCCCGGAGCGACCGCTGAGGGGGGAAGGTGGTGGGAGACGGGTGCGTAGAAAAAAGTAAAGAAAGCGGGAGGGGACCGCAGCGCCGCCACCGCCGCCAGCCACTCCGCAAACTTTCCGCCACCTCAGCCCGCCTCCGCGCGGCCGGGGGAGCCCCAAGCACGGCCCGCCCCGCCGCAGCCCCCTCCCCGTGCCATGTGACAGCCGCGGCCGGGCCCCGCGGGGCTGCCGTGTGGGATGGCGGGCCAGGGTGGGCCGGCATCGTGCCCCGCTGCTGCCAGGCCTTGGCGGTGGCAGCCCCGGGCCCCCGCGCCGCAGCACGGCGGGCGCTGCTGTGGGATTTTGCTGCCGTCCTCGGCCTCTCCATGGGCGGGCGGGAGCGGGGAGCGGGCCCTGTGCTCCCCGAGCGTCACCCACCACGCCCGGGCCGAGGTGAGAAGGCATGGTTACCATGGCCGTGCTCGCATGGGGTTTTCCTTTGCCATCACACCAGGCAGCGTGTGTCCTGGTAATCCAGAAGCTGCTCTAGAGGCCCCAGGCTTCCCAGCCAAGCCTGGGGTCACTAGCATGTAAAAGGTGAGGTGAGGTTAACTCCTGCCTTCCGGGTCCTACATGGCTAGTCCAGACACCGTAATTAAGCCCATTATGTTCCCCACAGGATCCCGGCTCCAAAGGTTCAGGGAAGTGGGCAGGACGTACAGATTCCACATGTCTGAGGTAATCGATGTAATTTAAGTAAATACCTATTGTTCAAGTTCCATATGTAAGCGCAGACCCTGCAACGGATTCAATTACTGAAGGTTTCACGCCCTCCTCCTCTGCAGGAGCAGCTGCCATCAAATCACTCAGGAACACTGCTGTCCCTCCCACCTTCATAGGTGCACCTGAAAGATGGCAGACATCTTACACACTGTGAACTTGGAGCCGCAAGAAGCTTGACAGCTCCAGTATCAAGATTTGTAAGGCTGAAGCTTTGTCCCGGTTTTTATTGTTTCCATGTATATCTCATGATACAGGGATTTTTGTTAAAGGAACAAAACTACATTTTAGCCAGGAGTAATGAGTTTGCAAGATTGACAAGTCCTAAGTAACTACAAACATTCATATGCCACTGTCAACATGATTGTTTCAGATGCATAGGGTGTGCAGAGCTCTGCAATGTTTTGTCAGCTTGTGCTCCATTGACCATTGGTGTTCTTAAGGAAATTACCATGGGAAAACAAACAAATGCTGCAGGAACACACTTTTTTCTACATATACAAGCAAGCAAACCAGCAAAGGAACAAAATATAGCATAGCAATTACTTAGTATGTCTTTAAAAGTTGTCTTTTATTTGAAGTCTATGAAAACTGTCCTGGTACCATTGGCATGTCAGTATTACAGTTTCTTTTCCAGTCTTCCTTTGGAAACCATTAGGGTGATGAACAAAGCCTGTGAAACACTAGGCTGTTCTAAACAGACAGCAGGACAGTGCCCAATTTGGATTTTTGAAGCTATCCATGATTAGTCTGTACCTGTTTCCATGGAAGTCAGTGGGAAAGCTTCTTTTCTCAAGTTGCAGCATTTGTTCTAGCTGTCCAATTGTTTCACACTGTAACACCAAGATAAAGTGAACATGTTGTATTTACATATAGGTAAGATATGCTATAGTTGCTAATTTTGCAAAGTAATCAAAAATCAAGAGAAGGATCTTTATGTTGCTCCAGGTAATTATCGAAGAATCTACCAAAATTAAAATAGATTTAAAGTAACCATGCTTTGTATCATAGTTCCCAGAGTGCACAGCGAAGGGCCTCACTTCTCTGGGAAAAGTGAGCTTCTCCTATCTTGAGCGTTGGTAAGGGTGGTGATTCACTAGTAGGTGGCAAGAGAATCATTAAGCTGTCAGTTTTAACATCCAAGGAAAAGAAAAATTAGAAACAAAGCATTTTGAACTTAATTTATCATAGCAGTCAATAATATATATGGTGCTTATGTGAATGGTGGAACAAGAGAGAATCTGAGAAACAAAAGCAGGGGGAAAAAAGAGATGAAAAGGGCAGGAACTTCTGGTTTTGTAATTTTGAAAACCACTCATGCAGTCAGGGAATACTGTGTCCTTAGAAAAACCTAATACATATTTAGTGCTAGTAATATGTGAAGCTGGTTTAAGCTAAGCAAGGTAAATCAATCCAGAAAATTAGTTCATTTGTCTTTGCAGCTTCTTTACTCAAAATAATCAATATTATGAATCCTACAATGCTTATATATACTTATATGTATGTGTACTTCAGAGTCCATGACAGAAAGTCTTTCTTCCCACAGAGAGATTTGCTCTCTTCAGAAGTTTCAGGGACTGGTTCTGCATCTCCTATGAGCAGTGCAAGCTCTTGCCGACCCTCAGTTCCAGGAGTGCCTTCATCACTGGTTTTAGGTTGAGTGTGCACTGTGACTGTACATAAGCAAATACACATCATTCCTTCACAAGTTTGGCTGGACTATATCTTACAAGCTTAAAAGTAAGCTTATATCAAAGTAAGAGGTCTCCCATTCATCTACCCTGTTATATCCACATGTAGCAAGGAACTTCTGGTGACCATTCTTTGGCATTGGCATTAACATAATGGTGGATTCACCAGGATTAGGGGACTGATATGTCTGAAACCCCTTAAAAATAGTAACATCCCCCCCCCCCCACACACACAAACACACTTTCTTTAATTCTGAGTTGGAATAATTTCCTTATCCAGTTTTCCATGTAGCTGCACAAGGAAGAGACTTTCCTTGTGGTTATGCAAAGACAGGTCCTTTCCATGACAGCCTGAATGCAGGTCAGCCTGGGGGAATAATGTTGAGGAGACGGGAGCATGGCTGGAGAGAAAAATTCTTGTAAAACTAGAATCTCAAGCTCTCTCTTGGGAAAACAAGATTAGTTTCCTCCACAACACTACCAAGCATAGTCCTGTGGATGAGTTGGTAGTGGAGGACAGGGGATTGTGTAGTGAGATACAGCCCACTGTTTTGGATGTTTTGGCTTGATTCTAATGGTATCATTTTCAGTCTTTGATTATTGTAAATCATAGTCAAGTTCAAACATATGTTGTTTAAAATATGTATTCACTTCAGGCAAAAGACACACCCAGAAGCTGTGTAAGTATGATGATTTTTTTGCATATCATTAATGCCCTGAAATCAGTCACTGCTTTCAAATAATCTACTTCCAGAAAAAGTCAACCCTAAATCTGACTGGGTCTAGCAGATTATTAAAAATAATTTATCTATTGCTAAATTCAGCAAAACTAAATAAGGTACTATACATTTTCTGTTCTGAATTCAAATTAGAACATCTTTCATAACATTAGTAAGAGTTCAGTTAATCTAATTACAGGTTTTTTATGCATTTTGCAAAGGAATCTCAAATCATTACATCAGACAATTACATATAGTTGTATATAGTTATGTGTAGCTAGATCTGCAGGATTAATATCAGAAGGTCAAAAGGACTGAACAGTTACATCTACTAAATTTTAAATGATTTTGTCCACTAAGGCCACCTCAGGAATTAAAAGTCTCCCCATGTACTCCTGGATCACTTTGTAATCCAAATCTGTGTCTGGTATTCATTTCAGATTTTTCTACTTTTCATGGGTAAATGAAGTGATTTGGGTAGGGTTCAGCAGCAAAAAGCAGAAGTGAAGCAGAACGACATTGCTTACACTCTGACACATCTAACTTCTGATAGAGTGAGATAGAAACCAATGGCCCATCTATTTACTTTCCTGTCAGTAAATGACCCTGTATGAGCAGAGGCAGAATTAATGTCCTGTCTGTTTATTCCTAAACTTTCACAGTTCAGTTTTATTTATTGTCAAAGAAGATGTTTAGGGCTATCTGAGAGAAGGAAATGAAGAGTTCATGCTTTCAAGATCATTATGTCTTTTGGAGATTCACCAATTTAGTCCATTAAAATAATAATCTTAAGGCTAACAATTTTTTTTTCTAAAACCACAGCTGGAGGGAGAGATGAACCAGTGAGACCCATCCTGCTTGTAAAACAAAAGTGGAGCAGGACATGCTTTTTGTGGAGGCTGCTTGCCTACATGAAATACCTTGCAATAGGCAAGAGAACGTTTTGCCTCAGGCACCTGTCTGGAAGTTACTGAAGAGTCCCACAAAAGCTCTGTATTGTATGCAGAAGAGCCTTTTCACTTCCTTGTGTGTCACATCCAATATCTTGGAATATTTTTCATGGAAATTACTTTAAATGAAGAGCTTTTCTGCCTTCCTTTACTTCTGCCCATTTGGTATTGCAATTGATACTACTTTTAATTTATAGTACCACTAAGACTTCATGACCATTTATTTCAAACCCTGTGATTAACCATCGCAATTTCATTTGCATTTGAGGAAAATAATAAAATATTCTTAAATAATTTCCTAGTAATTGTGAATCTCCTTCTAGTGTGTCATAACTCCACGGTGAATATTCCAAGGTGCATACAGACATTTATTTTTGGTAGTAATTATAATTGACTTTATGTGATCCAACAGTGAAACCATGAAAACCAAATTATACATAATTTGAATGCACTGATTACAACCAGAAAAACCATATGAACTCTTTCCGAAAACTTTGCCTAGGGCAGAAAATGTTCAGCTTTTATAGAATTCATCCAAACAGTGAGTGTTTGCCTCCATTACAAATAAACTTAAAACATCCTAAGGCAATCCGCATTAGTGACGATTGTTAATGTCTTCAAGTCATGTCCTGTGTGGGGCTAAGTAGGAAGTTAAGTGCTTGATTGGAAGGACAATTAAACAATCAACAGCTACAATGATGTAACTTCAAAGAGAAAAAAAAAAAAAGACTTAGTTTTATGTCATTAAGGAACACTCAAGTTGAAATGTTT